AAAAAAAAAAAAGAAAGCGGAGGAAAATCTGAGTCACGCTCAGGACATGCTCTATGTTGCACCATCGCAGATTGTAAATTGTGATACCGTATTTGTTTCTGCTATTAATTCTGGCACCGTCAAGTATTGTGCTTGTACTACTCGTGTGTGCGTCGACGGAGCGCTGGAGGAAATCCAAATAGGACCAAACATTTAAATAAGGCGACAGACTTTGAGCTGGACCGTAACCAATATCCCCATGCCGGTACACGCATCTGCACTTGAAGCTTTGAAGTTTGACCCTACCTATGCTTCGGTTATCAGAGTCGAGGATGGTCCATTTGTCAAGATGAGGAGTACAGCGAATTCCCGACCACGGCTGTGCGCTCCCGGTCCCAGGTAGTACCAAGCATAAGTACTAAGTGCGAGTAAGCCTACATATGTACGCGCGTCGAGGTGCTCATCTCTCTGCTAGAGCTTTGACGATCACGCATCGCAAAGTGCGTACGCCATGGGCGAGCAGCGCATATCTTCTGGTATGCTCGCATCCGTCCTTGGCCCGGGGATATCTCGACAGTGTCTGTTCGGGGAGGACGGGCCGCGTTTCTCGGCATGCCGTCCTTGGAGTTGTTTGAGGCCATCGCGGTCGAGTTGGAGAAGGCGTGGTTTGACTCAGTGAGTTCTCTCAAGCTTTGCATAAATTTCATGTCCCCAATGGTTTAATTTTCCTAGTGTGATCTACCCCTGAAGGAGTGCTGTGCTTGGGAAGGTGACGATGCGTGCGTGTAGTTCATAGCAGAAGTACGGTCATTAACGCTTCGTAGACTTGTTTGAAGAATTGCTCGCCTCTGTGCCATCGACGCAGGTCTGAAATCGTGCGACCGTGTATCCGAACATGCAATTGTAAGCTGTCGTGTTTATACCATGCGTAGGCTTGGTTTGCTGACGGGTAGTGTTGGACCAGCAAAACAGACGATGGCTTCCACAATGAATGTTTTGCCCACCGCCACTGCATGAGGGCTTCTACCAAACGCGATGGCCATGTCATGTAATTTGGGGTGTTGCTTCACGCTACTAATGCATGCGTTATCCTGAGCGTCTCCCCTAAGCCTACCTGTGGCACCCACTCCACAAGTGGCAGCTGCCACAATCGGGGGGATGTCTCGGGCTTATGATGCTTGACTGCTCTGTCTAGTCTAGCAAGTACAGCACTATTTTCAATACGCGGAAGGCAACAGTCTGCCAACGCTGCGAACTCGCGTCTCATGCATCACGCCGCAACTTCCCTGCTCACTTGCGAGCCGAGTATGGCAGGTGCCGAGGCACTGTACGGTGAGATCGGCCATGACGCTGCCGACGTAGCTCGGGAAACGCGCGATGGTATAGGGCCCGTGCGTGACGAAGAAGTGCCCCTTTTTCCGTGGTGGGCTCTCGCAGAAAGCGTGTCTGCGCTAGAACTAGACTTATCTCCGCCAGGGCCAACTCTCGACCTCTACAGCGATCAGTCTCGGCGGACTCCGTGCTTCCTCGGGCCCTGTTGGAAAGCTGCACAGTCCATGATCAAACGGCTACCCTGCCGATCCGAGGTAAGGGAGTCTTGCCAAGGGTCTGTGAGTATCGCGAACGACGGGGATGATGACACCTGCCAACGATTCAGGGAATCGCTCGCAAAGCTCAGGAGTGTCTCCACGCCGGTATTTTCCCAGCTTTGCTGCGGGGCTGTTCAGGTCAACCTACTAGGAGCCTGAGCCTCGGCCAAGTGCTCGTTTGCAGCTGTTGGCAATCGGCCCAGCTCGAAAGGAGAACAGTCTCTTTCATCTCACATTTCCGCGAGTCTCTGCACGATGCCCAGCACTCCAACAGCACCAGCAGCCTGACCAACTCGAACTGTCATGTTCGAGACATGTTCGCAATTATATATCTTATTCTTCACTAGCTACCCAGAGATCCGCGGACAGTCTACATCGCTTGACTGAAACTAGTGGTTCTGCACATCTTCGTGAATGTCCTCTCCTATGAGAACACTGATGGCAATGGCGAGTCCATGCAGCGTCGGATGCTCGAACACAAAGTTCTGCGATACGTGAAGGGCGAATATATTGGTCTGAGGGTCAGCACGGAGAGCGTTGATAATGCGGGTCCGGAGGAACGTGGCATGCAAGCTGGTGGAATTTCAGCACGATATCCTGTGTGACAGACAGGACTGACCTGTCGAATCCCTGGTCAAACAGCTCTTTAGACGGCGAGATTACATCTCGGCCATTGGATATAACGGAAATGTGTTCTAGGAGCCAGGCTTGTATGTCGGGCACAGTCCACGAGGACGGTGGGCGGATACTTTCAGAGATTCCGCTGTCCTCCAACATCGCATATCTGAATGAGGTGGTTGTGTCAGCCGTGAAGAGTAAGTGCAAGTAAGAAGTTAGGCCCACTCACAAGTTATTTATCTCTTTCTCATAAGTTTTGAGTGCTTGCTTCCGGATAATCGTCCCCTTGGCGGTACGAGGTAAGGGCCTGGCGCGCTCTGTGACAATAATCATTTCCTTGAAGATTCTCGCGAATGCCGGAGCCGTGCGATTCGCCTCCTCAACAATCGGCCTTGAGAGTCTTGAGCGACAATGTTCTGAAGCGTAGCAAAATGGCATACCAAAGCTTGTTCCTGAATTCTGGCAGCGCGTTCACGTCGTTCGGGTTGACAGCATGACCTTTCTTCGGTTCGACGAGAATACCGCATTGGCTCTTGCCCCGACCAAACATGACAACTCCTTGGACCATACGCGACGAACCTATCACCCCTTCCTGAGGGATCGGCACGACTTTCTCTCCTGTTGGAGATCGTCAGAGGAGGTCTACGTGAAGGGATGCAAAATCACTTGCCCAAACCGAGGACGATAACATCGTCCTTGCGACCAATTCTGGGTCACTATGGTAACTATCTCTTCCTCGCGCAACAGCTCAGCAAACTTACATGCGCCACAATCCTTTCTTTGATGGATGCGACTCCCACAAATCGCTTGTCGCGTACCCCTTCGTGTCCTCCAGATTCTCCAGATTAGGGCGATGCGTTGCACATGTCTATCGCGTGTCAACCATCGATGGTCCGGCCACATATTGTTTAATGTCAACCAACTCACCAGATACTGTAGCTCAAAGGTGTTGTTTCCCTCAGGAACCCATCTGCACGTCACGCGGTCGGAGAATGACATCCATTCCCAATCTGCCTTCGTCTTGGCGCCCGAGGCGGGATTGGAAGATTCGTCCATGTCGAAGACCTTCGTATGGGGTCCAAACTCGGTGCCCCCGTAGCATGGGTACAGGTTGACGCCTTCTGCTATGAGCTCGCCGCCAACCTTGGATGACAGCGGCCCTCCGCCGAAGGCCTTCGAATCGA